CTTTATGCGCTACATGACTAGTTGTGTGTTAGCAACACACTCAAGTGCATCTCTTGTCCTGAGGGAAAGTCATTCACAAATACATTCAGTGACAACGGTGACAACGTTGATTCATCTGGCACACCATCTGTAATATATTTCTATTGCTAATTACTTCCCTATATTCTTTAACCACATGTGACCCGTCTTCTAGGTAATTTTTGAGCACATATTATAAAGGTCCCCTGAAGCTCGAACGAAATAGCTTTTCTAATGAAATGGTATCATTTACTATTTCGGACGATTTCGCCAAGTCTAAATACAGAGCACAATTGAAGAGTTTCTTGTCTAGAACGTTTCTAATATTATTATAGTGCTGTAATTAGCAATGAATCAAATAGCCAAGGTGTTGGTAGCAAAAAATTCTGTAAGGCGGACTTCATACATTTAAGCAAAAGTTTTTCTGTTCTCTGGGAGAGTATAGGCAAAAAGAAATTGGTCTGTAATCATAATAGTGAAAAGAAGAAGGAGAATGGGCTAGAAGCAGTCATTCAAAAGCCAAGGCAGTGCATCTGCCCTTTCCTTTCACCTCCCCTAGGATAGCCGACCGGGCATGGTACTAGCTAACCTAAATAATTTCTCTGTTGTTTTATCCTTTCATTCATGAATACCGGTGGGAAAGCGTAGCACTAATTATGAAAAGGCGCAGTCATTGCTAGATACATTGAAAACAATCATTTGTGAGCACTTTTTATTCGTTTGTACTTTACTTGTTTTAGTTTTGATCAATTTACGCATGTTCAATATATGATACAGAAATGTACAGCTGAGAAGACCGTAACTGAAACATGTATTCATGTATGAAGTTGTGTAGCGAATCTGCTAAAAGTAATGCTTGTATAGACTGTTATTTGCCCAACGCGCTAAAAAATGGCTCTTACAGTGTAAGCTAGTTAAACCCCACATATTAATCAACAGTGTAAGCTACATAAAACGGACTACTTTTGCAACCATGCTTTCTTTACACACTTTTTTAGATTATGCTAAACTAGCTTCGTCAGATTACATAACCGATAGCAACGAAATCACGTCTTGATTTCAGTGGGGGGAGCCGACGACAACAAAACCAAGACATGTATTGTATTTGCACTTGTGTGTGTGTATCTTTTCCGTTTCGTCCTCTTTTCATCACGAAGTTTAAACGTTTTCGAGACTACCAATCGGACAAAACACACGGGAAATGATGAGCGTAAGTGCAGCCTACCTTTTCGAGTACATTTTCTGAGTACAGCCAAGTGGCACATGTGCACACATTCTTCGTAAAAGAAGTGCTTAATCATAATCAAAAAGCCAGCCGACTGCTTGTCGTAGACATTGTATATTGTCAGTGCGTGAGAAGGGCTAGTCCCCACCAGCACCACATATGTATCATAGGTTTGCATCTTATCGGTCGGCGACTGTGGTTCGCTTTCGGTGGCGACAGTCGATATCAGGCTGCTTTCTTTTTTTTCATGTATTGTAGTTTTGTCGGCCGCAACATGCGTCATCACGCCGATTTTAAAAGTTGAAGGTCAGTGCCAGACGGTCTGGGAAAAACGGCGTACTAAAAGCGATGTCCCGAGTACCGGGAAATGTAGAGTGGGAGAGGCTACAAGAAATCACTTTACTTTTGAAGTGTCATGGTCTGCTTGACGTCACATAAATAATGACTCTTGAGTAATACGATCATATTGAGCATCAGTTGTTCTTGCTTTTGTAATTTATGTACGTCTAGCTCACACAAACGCTTCTCATCTTTTGTTGTTTTTTCGTGTTGACCAAAGACGAAAATAAAAACTTGATTGATTGATTTGCTGATTGGTTACTTTCGAGTTTTCTTCTGCAATAAAAGTACTGAAGGTACCCATCTTTCTTGAAAACAGTGTAACGTGTAAATATTTGATGACGTTATTTTTCTGGAGGCGCTCAGTATTGCAGCGCTTATCCACAAGGCCACTACACTACACACATTGTTAGCATCTCCATCGATTGTCCAAAGCTCTAGAGGCGCAACAATTTAAAAAGAAAACGAACAACGTGGATACAGCCTACTTTTGGTAGTGGCGAAGTATACGTAAATGTATTTATTTTCAGAACACTCACTTTTTCTTCCTGATGAGCCGAAAAACTTTAACGTTAAACACTTCAAGGTTAACAACGTCGAATACGCTATCGTAAAAAGGGCAGCTCATTGTCCGACGTAACATTGTCATTCACATTGCAGCACCAACATCACTTCCATCGCAACGACTGAACCAGATTGAACCATCACAATGTTTATCCCACGCCGAGGGGAAGGTTCCACCACGGAGCAAGAGTGCCTCACTGCCGTGTGAGCAATCGCGAAGCTGCGCCCATACCTTCATGGTCGCCCCTTTCAAGATAGTGACGGTCAACCATGCCCTCTGTTAGCAAACATGCGCGACCCTTTCGAATGGCTAGCACTGTGGAGCTTGCGGCTACAGGAATTCGGGGTTACTATTGTTTATGAATCGGGCCGTAAGCATAACGACGCTGACACACTGTCGCGAACACCCATTCATGTCGTCAATCAGGCAGAAGAGGACGATGACGGTTCCCTGAGTACCACTAGTTCGTCAGACTTAAGCGAGTGGCAGTGACATGACACCGAGTTTCGACCAATCATCGGTCATTTAGGATCCACGGCACAGCCAAGCCACGCCATCTGTCCCGCTATATTGGCCCGGACTTTCGGGGAGCGTCAACCAACACGTCAAAGTTGTCGTGAACGCCAGCGCCAAAAGAAACCCTGTTCGGCCAGATTTAGTCAGCTAAGGCACCTGAACCCTTCGATGGAGCTGACATGGACATTCTTGGTCCCTTTCCCCTGTCTTTTCATGACGAAAAATTGGTAATCGTTCTGACTGACGATTTCAAGAGACCCTGAAACGGTTTTTTGAAGTTATCTCAGCCTTTAAGCTTGAGCGTCATCAAAACATTCGCACCAAAATTTAGCAACAAGCCGTGTACCAAGGCCCCTACGAACAATTATATCATACCCTCCTTCTACCGTTGGCCTTGCCTTCTCAACTCATAAGACACGCTTGCATCGCTGGCAACCGCAGAGCTCTCATGAACGCACTAGTTTCGCCCAGCCTAGACCTCCTATTAGGCACGCTGACAGTATACGCGTAGTCTTTGAGGCCACTGATATATGTGGTATTTTATGATACAAGGGTCAGTGGTGGTCATAGAGTTTCAGGCCATGCCATAGGATCTGTTCAGTGGTGATGTTAAGTGAATGTATAACAGTGCGCCCAGCCATAGATTTAAAACACTCAGCACTCAAATTGTCTCCCTCGCAAGCACCAGTGCATGCTGCCATCACCCCCGGCATATTATCTGTTTTGCGGCTCTCCGTTTCATCGCAGTTATAGACTGGTGCATAAAGTCGACTTATTGGCTCATGGCAACAAAACATGATAGTAGTTCCCCGGGAGATGCCAGTCTCCAGTAGTTAGTGGTAGATATAAATGGCTTGTCGTTTGAACGTTGAAGGAGGTGCTCTTCGGTAGATCACTGGTTGACGCCTCACATTCACGACTCATAAATCCCATGTTCGATTCCACGCGCTGGAGTCTTTTTTATGAGTTATTTTTATATCTTGCGTTTACAAATATATAGATACGTATACATATACGGTGAGTAGTGGCGACGTCGACGCCGGCGGAAAAATCCATCCGAGAGTGTTTATACAATTATTATCGCAATCAAAACACAGAAGGCGAGAACTACGGTTCACCCGGCACACTAACAAGCCGGTGCAGTCAGCTATGCCTTCGCCGATGGCCGGCTCCGCCAGCCATCGCTTCAAATGAAACTTCCACCACCCACCGCAGCACTCGCATTGGCGCCATTTAACGCTTGGCGCCACCCGTGCGGAACGTTGTTGCTTCGCACCCCACCAGGGTTTCCTTCGGAAAGATGTTCCAAGGTTTATTAACGCGATAGCATTGAAGACCTTGTTTTGCAGAAATTCTAGCGTCGTTGTCAGCGTCATTGGTTATAAGCAAAAAATCATCACCTTTGCGTGACTGAAAACTTGAGAAAGATTCTAATAAAATTAATAAAAATTGTATACCGGAGTGTGAATCCAACCCGGGCTCTTTACGTGGCAAGGGGAGAGGGGGGCTCTACAGCACAGCCGCGCCTGTTTTTTTCTAATTATGTATTAAATCAACACCAATAATCGTGAACTTTGCAAAACCTAGTTGTTCGGAACTCAGGCAATATAATTACCAAATTCGCATCTTTTCCGGAGATTGAATGAACACTGACGTAATGTTGTTTATTGTTTTCTGGATATTTTTGATAACTTGCCATTCAGTTATGTAGGATAGGATTTCTGGACCCGCAAAATCCGAAATAACAGTTCTGCTGCAGATACATGGAATGAGAGCAAACTATACAAGACAGCAAATGGAAAGAGTAATGATGCAATTATGGTCCCACCACGGTCCAGAGGCTAAGGTACTCGGCTACTGATCTGCAAGTCGTGGCATCAAGTCATGGCTGCGGCGGCTGCGTTTTCAGTGGAGGCGAAAATGCTTCAGGCACATGTGCTCAAATTTGCGTGCAAGTTAAAAAACCACAGGTGGTCGAAATTTCCGGAGCCATTCACTAAGGCGTCTCTCACAATCATGCGGTGGTTTTGGGGGCGTTAAACCTAACATGAAAATCACACACAGAGCGCTAAGTTATTACAAAGGTTGCTGTTGCGACCAGAGAAAAATGTATACCAGCTCCACGCACAATACCGCAGCACGGCTGCATTGCAGATATGAAATACGGCAGTAGCCATGCGTTTGTCACCTTCCTTAGACTATAACACATGGCTGTTCAAATATTAGACCATTTTTCCACACTTGTTGAAACTTCAGCTCTCGCACGCAGCCTGGTTTATGAATTTCTCAGGCTAGACGACTTGTTTAGGTCATTGACGTTTTCCTTTTTATTTGCAGGACTCGACGACTGACTTGGGCAACAGTTCGACTGCAGCACCCGACGTGACGACGACGACAACGACGACGGGGGCGCCTCCTGCGGAACAGGCGGCCACCTCGTAGAAGAGCGCAGCGCACCGGGGTGGCAGTGCGGGGCCGCCGCCTCGGCTGTACATACCCTCCGCCGGTGGGTACGGAAAGACAAATCAGCAGTCACGGTTTCGATGAACGTCTCGGGTACACGAGGAGGAGTTAGTCGCTCAGCTGTATAGTCTCAGAGATTCCTGGCCAGCACATGGTGATGGCAACGTCCGGCCGTGGGCATATCGAGTCTTTTTATAGTGCCGCTCATTACCAAGAAGTCTCTGCTAGCGCTGCCACAGCTTTCGTACTTGTCACACAATATGTCTCATTTGCCGCCATGGGCTTAAGATGTCGAGAAGTTCTCGGAATATCTGGGTCCTCCTAGGCGAAGTCATTATCAGTGGATAAAACTAGCTTTCGCAAGCATTAATGTTCAGGCTTGAGGTAGTGATTAAGCAATTGTGCCTGCTCTAGAGTACTACCGCTCATGTGGCCTTGGAATAATTTTCCGTTAATATCGCATGGCTACGGTGTAGTTCAGCTTGAGCATGAAGAAAGCAGGCGACAGCGAAGAATGGATGAACGCTACACTTTGTTTAATGAAGGACCCTATACAACGCCTTTTGTGGCTTACGTAAGCGCAGACGTGACGCCACACAGTTGACCAAAAACATATAACCATGAAGCGTGGCACACGATAAAAAAACGCAGTTTAAGCAAACGTCAAGTTAGCGATTCTACGTCAGCATTTTCCTGCAGACGCCCTAAAAGGTCGAGCACTTCTCCAGACAACAACACATATGGTGTGCTGAAACACAACTTCGCACATTTCGCAATAGTATTCGCCTCAACCATCTCACATATGAAAATATTAAAACGTTTGCCCAAAATGACACAACCGTCAAACAATCGAGTGCATGCACACGTCTTACAATGCATAGCGAGGAAACTATACAAAGAAACCGTGTTTTTTTTACATTGTCACAATGATCGCGCAGCTGGTTATTGACACACCCACCACTCTTCCTTATCAAAAACCACGTCATGCGATAGAGGAAACACACAGACGATAGCTAGGTAACGTTAAACACGCATAGTTAAAGCTTCTCTCCACAGGCGGGTTGTAACTCCTTCTTACAATTTTTAACCTTGCGCGTTTTTCTGGAGCAGAGAGCTGTGCACGGACATTCTCTTTCTGGGTTATTTTTTCAAATTATGTGAAACTTTGTGCACATACGGTATGACACTGCCTCTTTCAGTATCGACACATCATTGTTCTGCTGTTCTTGCCGCCTACGTGAACCATGCAACGAGCACTCTGCACTGACACCAGCAGTAACACTGGATGGCCTGTCAGGGATAATCGCTTGCTTTGCCCTGCAATACTTGCGGCCATAGCGTGATGCATGGCATGAGAGCTCCGCTAAAACACAGTCTGTCAATACCTCATTCTGCAATGTGCTGAATTGTACTACAGAAGAGGCTTTTCTTACCGCCGTTCAAAGCACACGAAAGCCTATCTCACTGAACAAGAAAAACTAAGCTGATGAAATCATATTGCACTTTTTTTAGATAATTCTTACCTAACGGTAAAGGTAACCAAAGACTGTTTAATGGTTGACAGACTGTCGTTCAATGTTAGTTTAAGCACACTCATTCAAAAACTAGAAATCGCTCATGTAATAAAAGCCACGCACACATTCGTCTGCTTGAGCTGGAGAGTGCGCGTAGGCATGAGCTCAACTCCCACGTGGCTATGCAATTTTTCGCTTTGCAGAGGTCTCTTTACCAAGTGTGAACAAGATGGTGTCCCCATTTGTGGCAAAGAGAAATTCGTTGTGAAAAAGTTGTAACCGGGATTAGTTCTAGTGAATGCACCGCGTAAAAAAGGAAAAGAGAAGACAATGTCCACATTTTTCGGTGTCCCTCCGACTTCACTCTGATTGCAGTGAAGGCAGGCGTCTCAGCAAGTTACGTTGCAAAACATTTCAGGCCAATATTAGGATAGGATAGTCGCTCTGTCGTATCATAATGTATTTTATAGCGTTTTGCGTACAAAAACAGTTTTCCTCTCAGCAGACTTTGTTTGCTGTAGATTTTCCTGCTGAAACAATAAACGCGACCGCACCGCGTCAGGCTTCTCGAAGCTTAAGTTACGCAGTATTCAGGAAGTTGCATTTGCTTTTCAAATCCACTTCATATTGTGACTGGGTCAGTTTTAAGAAATGCGTATATATTCGCAAATTTAAATTATCATTCTAGATTTTTCACTCATGTGTTGTACATTCTAGGTTGATCTCTCCACGCAATGCGTTACTTTTCGTTTTTCAGCAATTTTTCCCCTACTTTTGTACCACTCCACTTCGTTCCTGCACCGACAGATGGCGCTGCCAAGGCTGCCTGTACCCATCCAACGTCTCCGCATGGAAGCCCGGCGGCCGGCGTTCAACACTCCGTTGTACGGCGCTGCCCTGTGACATGAAGCATTAATAAACCAAAACATTTCAGCCACCATACCATCCTCGGCTCTGTTCACTGCCAAGATCATATGCATTTTTTTTCACAGCTGCAAATAGCCCTACTGTTGACCGCGGGGCACAATTTTGGCAGCTTTCCTGGGACTGAGAACACCGTCGACACGCCGTACCTATTGCCAACTCTCCTAAGATGGTGGCTTGCCACAACCTTAGGATAGTGGGCATAGCCAGGTGACGCTGAGGTAACTCGCGCCTATTGTGGACCTAATAAAAATATCTCGATCATTTATTGATTGTTATGTGGGGTTTAACGTCCGAAAACCTCCATATGATTATGAGAGACGCCGTAGTGGAGGGCTCCGAAAATTTTGACCACCTGGGGTTCTTTAACGTGCACAGTTAATCCACTCACCCTATGAATTTAGACGATCACTGCTGGCATGGCAATCACATGATGTCGCTCCCATGGCTTCTTTTTCTTCCCCTTGACTTTAGGTATAGCTGTGCCTCCGCCACGGCTGTCAGAGCACGACCATGGAGACCTGTTTTTCGGAGTCTCGTAGCCCCACACACAGGGCTCGACTGCATCAGCTGAGGACAAGACTCGAGGAGTCTGTATTCTCGTTAAAGGCTCATAATAGCTTAACAGTTCTAGATTGGGCCGAATCGAATGGCGAAAAACCTTTGTCGGCCCTAGGTCGAGAGCACACTAGCACACACTCCTTTCTCCGGCTGCCAGATTGAGCACACGAACCTCTACATATGGTGTGCCGCGGGAACAATCTATGAAATATCCGCATGATTAGCGCCATCTGACCAGTGAAAAGGGCTCCAGTTTGAAACCTGGCCGCAATTTCAAAAATTCGGAACGGAAAGAACAAAACTGCTGCTTCACTCTCATTCGCAGTGTGAGCGATGCCACACACTTAGCTGTTGGGCCGGCCTTGGTGAAATGTTGCTTTTGCCAGAAGGAAAACTATGTGCCTGCAAAGTTGAGTTACAGTAAAATATGTGTGTTCATGATGGGTGATTATGAATGGCAAAGCTCGCTGTGGAGCCATGCTGACTCTCACTTATATGGTGAAATTACTAGCCTGCGCTTAGTATTTTTGATTATTTACAAAAATGATTTGGTCGAAAGCACAAACGGAGGCTTATAATCCGAAAAATAACAGCTGATTATTTTGAAAACGTAACCCAGAAGGTTCCTCCGGTGAGAAACAGTATAAAAAAGTGCAACCGAAAAATAATTAGGAACAGAGAATTTCAAGCAAAAGACCGGAGCGAAAATTTCTAAGCGCACTCACCGGGCTTAGATGGGATTCCCTTCAGTCTTATCAACGAACTAGGAGATAGCAATAAAAAAGCACAGCTTAAATTCATAGAAAAGTGCTTACCTTACAGGTGGAGGAAAAGTAGAATGAACCTAATGTATGAAGACAAAGGAGAAAAGGCTAGCTTTCACCCGTATAGACCACTAACTATTACGTCGGCGCAATACAGGTTAGCAAAGCAGGCAGTAAAACTAAAAATACAAACGTGGGAACTGCAAAATCACATTTTAGGCGACTTTCAGACTTGATATTCCGCATCAACAGGCCATCGGACGATAACCTGTTTGTTTTTACTCAGTGTATAGAAATATCTGAAATAGAAAGCACGTTCTGATGCGTAATTTATCTGGGCATAACTGGGTCATACAAATACTTTAATCAGAAAATAGCATGGGAATACCGAAGGAAGTGGGTTTCGGTGACGACTGTATCCAGCATTTGAGAGAAATATATTGAGAAATCGCAGTCTGCATCGATTGGGAACAAATAGGTAGCAATGACAGCATTCAAATTAGCTAGGGGTTGAGACAGGGATGTCTGTTGTACCCGCTGTTATTCACGCTGTACAAGGTGAGGATGAAAAAAGCCTTCGAAGGTAGCAACGTTCGGTTTAATCTGTCACACGAACGGGCTGTTGCAATAGTTCAGTAGAACCTTCCAGGTCTAGTTTGTGCAGACAATATTGTCCCATCTGCGCACAGTCAATATGGTATACAGCGGCTTTTTTATGCAGACGACATTACTTTCTGGTGTACGTCTGGATGCCTCGGCCACGTGCAGGATAATTGCAACCTGGCCTGGACCTTATTGCTTGCTTTCTCGCTACTGCTGGCCTGTATCCTGCACCGGAGAAATGTGAGCTACTTTTGCTAAACCGGTCAGCGTACCAGCGCTCCCACAACACCCTAATCTTCCTACAACTTTCTAGCTCTCTCATCCCCGCTGTCCAGCAATGCAAAGTTCTTGGCTTCCCTTTGCAAGTGACAAAGAAGGCACAGGCCCCACATGACGCTGTGAGGACTTGCCACTCGGTGACTCACCTCCTGCGACGCGTTGTCACTCGGCAGACGGGGCTCCACGAGGCTCATGCGTGCCGGGTTGCACATGCGCTCACCCTTAACAAGTTCTTTTACTTTGCACCCTGCGTTCAATTCAACCAAACGCAACTCAACACACTCTAAAGAGCTATATTAGGCCTCTACAAGGCAGCTCTAAACCTCCCTTTCACTACCCCTACCACTAAGCGCTTTACCACAGGCCTCTTCCATCCATTACGTCCTCTTTTTTCTCTACACCGCGACTCTCAGATTGCCCGTCTTTCTCTCACTCGTCAAAGCCAATGGCTATTGGCCCAAGCGGGTATCCCTCGCATTCCCGTTTCCGTTCCCACCTTGCCTTCTGTCGCTAGCACCCCTGCTGCTAACCTTCGCAGCCTTTCTCTCTCATCCAATATGTCTCCCGTACTTCACGCCGGCCGGCTTCATGTGGCAGCACAACATCATTCCCCTCTTCTCTCTACACAGTGAGTTGCCTAAACGGATGCCTTATACATGGCTCCTCGAGGCTCATGTGGCTACGTTACCTACCATCCACACATTTCGGCATCTGACACGCACACCAGCGGGCCATACTTGCACCCACCAAATGTACTTTAGCTCGAGGTCCTTTCCATGGTTTACGCCATGCAGTCATTTTCCTGCCTCCCTTCTCTCCCCGAGTACATGATTTACTCTGACTCTCACGCCGCCATCCGTCACATACAGAACAACACGTTGCCCCCTGCTATTAAACGGGAGGTCGAGCGAGCGGCCTCGCCTCTTCAACCCTCCACTGTCTTCCTTCGCTAGGCTCCTGGGCATTCAGGTAATAACGGCAATGAGCTAGCTCATCAGCTTGTCCACAATATATTGCACCAGGCACCGTTCATTGCCTGACCCACACCTTCGGAAGGCAGTAAGAGCTCCGCAAATAACGATGGGCAGATCTCCTTGCGTCACACTATCAAGGAGGTATATCTCCAGCTCCAGCTCGAGAAGCGTCTTTACCCTCCCCCTCATCCATCACTCACTGCACTCGAGGCTCGAACTTTACATCACATGTAAATAAATCGCCTGATAACCCCCTCTTCGATTTTCCTTTATTAAAATAGGTCTAATCTCTGCTGTCCCGATTGCCCCTCCCCATATGCCGACCTGTCACACTGCCTGTTTTATTGCCGCTCTGCTCAGCAATCCAGCTATTACCCTACCCCACCCATTTCTATCACCTCCTGGCTCGACTGGATCGGCACCGAAGGGAAAGAAGAACAGCGTCGACTGGACACACAGGCGGTCACAATGCTCAGCCTGTAAATTGTGGCTGAATAAAAGTCTATTGCCACTACTACAGCGGCTAGCAGATATATGCGGAAGGGAATGTGAGGCTCTAGGACAATAGGATTTACTGCAACAAAATGTGGATTGATGGTCCTTATTGATCACGAAGACCTGGCGGTCTCAAGTACAGTGTCAAGAAATACCGAGGGTAAGCGAGTACAAGTACCTCGGAGTATGGTTAAATGAGGGAGATATATCCAGGCAGAGGAAAAAAGCATTGGCAGCAAAGAAAAAGAGGATTGCTGCAATAATGAAGCACCAAGCGTTAGGGGGATATAATACGTACGAAGTTCTTTGAGCTCGGTTGAAAGGCGTAAGGGTTCCACGGCTTACATTTTAGAACTCAGTGGTCCACATGAAGTCAATAAAAACTCTTTTATCAACATCTATTCCCGATTACACCTTGACGCAATCAGAAATGGATGTATATCAAACAACTGGAGACACCTCACGTTCGGAGTTAACGGGAAGACATGTAGAGGCAAGCCAACAAGAGAGGAAGACTCGCTACGATGACGTACACCGTATCGTCGGCTTCAATGCTGGAGTATTGTTGTGGACCCCAACACGAGTTTTGGCCTGTGTGGTCAGCTTCAGTCAAGCTCAATGGCCCCTACGCTATCTTCGAGCACATGTCTACTGTGAACTACCGGGTAACAACCGTTGCCATGCCTAAACCATTCAGCGATGTACTCCACTGCCATAAACAGCGGCCAGGCTGGCCGCTTAAGCACGAGTGGGAAATTAATGTAAGTACAATACTGACAGCATTTGATTTTTGATGTTCTTCGCCTGTCTATAATTATCAACACTGTGAGAGTCTCCTTCATTGAAAGGGTTGATCGGGTGGCTCTGCCTAGTAAGCATCGTCGCGATCCTAATGCTTCTACTGTCTTGCAGTACTCATTGCCTTGAATTGTATATATATATATATATATATATATATATATATATATATATATATATATATATATTAAATTGATAAATTGAAATATAACGCCCTCGCATTTCCGATACATATTCTCGAAGACATATCACATACAACTTAACACGCATAACATACTGCAGCGAAAGAATACACACGAACTACGGTAAACAAAGGCTACAGCACACGATCCCTGAAATGTTCAACGCACGTCTCACAATTACCACCATAGTGAAAAAGCAGCTCAGTAATTATGTTTAAAAAGAAAATACACAAATATCTAGTAATGCTTCAAAAATAACTTTCCTCTCTCTTTTAAATCACAGAGGGTTTCTTTTTGCTTGCCCCTTTTTGTTCAATTTGTTGGGTAGAAGTATCTGTTGCATTTTAATTTAGTTAGATGTA